CTTCCCAAATCTAAGCCTTGGTTGTAAAAAGCCCGTGAAGAGGACTCAGAGAGGCAGTTACGCAGTCAGGGTGTAGAGCTGGTAAAGACAGGGCAGGGGAATGTTTATCTGATTTCTGAGTCTATATGGAAGGTTGCAATGTTGAGCTGGGACAGTTTCCTAAGGAATACTTACAGAGTCCTGAGCTTGGTAGCCCAGCACGTGAGACTGGAGCTCAATTTTGCTTCAGTCAAAAATGTCAGCTCAGACATGAGGGTACGTGTATGCAACCCCAGCACTTGGGAGGGAAAGTGAGAAAATTGGGAGTTCCGAGCAATCCTGGACTCCATTAGACTGTGTCTCAAAAAAACAAAAACAAAAACAAAAAGACCCACTGTCCACTGAATGTGGTGGCATGTGCCTGTAATTCTGACTCTTGAGACGTAGGATGGAGAGTTCAAGGACAACCTAGGGGTACAATAACTCTGAGTAGTGCACCAGCAGAAAAGCTCAGAAAAAGATGAGTAGTTAGTCCTTAAATAAAACATCCATGCAAACAGTGCAGCTGCCCACCGTCCACAGCTGGAATCATGTGACTGACTCTGGGGGGGATCTACAGTCACACCTTGCCAAAGTCACTCTGTCCAGAGAGGAGACCTGTAGAGTCCACACTCTTGGCTGTCATCCCCTTTTCCCTCGCCCGTGCTGCCAGTTCCTCTGCGGCTGACTTCTCCCCTTCTTTCTCCACAGAAATCAACGGGACCCAGATCTGCCCCAACAACCTCGTGGCCTTCCATGACTTCTCCTCGGATCTGGAGAATGTGCCTCACCTGCGCTATCTGCGGCTGGATGGGAATTTCCTGAAGCCGCCCATCCCGCTGGACCTAATGATGTGTTTCCGCCTCCTGCAGTCTGTGGTCATCTAGGCTGTGCCCAGAGCTGGACTCCCTGACAGCACTTGAAGGCTGGTGGCCCAAGCTCTGGTGCCCATCATATCTCTCTGTCTCCCTCTCTTGCTCCCAGCTCTGCCTTTCTTCCTATCCCTTTCTGAAGATGGAAAATGTGTCCTGCTCCAACTCTAAAGCGAGATTTCCCCACTCGGTCCAAAGACACCCTGCCAGCCGAAACCTCTCTTCTTCTTTGGTCTCCCTTGCTTCAGAAACATGGGCGTGGGCCAAAAGAAGCATACGTACCCCTTCCTCCCTGGGTAAGGTAATGGACGGATACCTTTTCTTAGTCTTAGTCAAGCAAGAATTGGAAGTCATCCCAGAAGAGAACCCTGGGAAATTCTGCAGAGTGCTCCTACACTTTGGGCATCATTGCCTCAAGAAGGCTGACAAACCCAGGTCTCCTTCCAAAACTACTGCTCTGCCTCCCTCTTTCCTGACACCAGACATCAACCTGCTCTCCGCTGCCTCACCTTCTCCAGGAAGGAAGTGTGAGGGAATGACTGGGGTGGCGTGAGGGGTCAGGGCTCCCCACAAGTGTCTCCATCAGCCCTTCCTTCTCTTCCCAAGCACAGCACACACCCTCTTGGCTGGGTCTCAGAGAACAACCAGGGAGGAGAATAGTTCAAGGAACTAGAATTTAGTTAATGGGTGGTGGCTGGGAGTCAGAGCCTCAGAATAGGCCTGTGTGGATGTAGATGGGCCCTACAGCTTCCCTGACCCAAACCTGACAAGAGACCCAAAGTCGTGGAAGACAGTGTTCACAGTGGAAGGCCAAGAGGCAACATCCCAGACTCTGTTATGTGCATGATCCAGTCCCCACCCCAAAGGCAGTTCTTGAGAAACAGGGAAAAAGGGGTGGAGCACCTGGAAATCTCCCAGAAGACTCCTTCACACTGGGGCTTAGCCTCTACCTCTAAAGCAGACTCATCGGTGACATCTGGTGGCTGGCGAAGGTCACAGCCAACTCCACTCTCCTTGTGGGGCTGTTGCAAATAGCTTCCCTGGGGGAAGAGGCCCATAGGTGACTGACTGGCTGAGTGTCTCTCTCCCTAAGGGTCTAAAGGGAAGAACAGAGCTGGGGCTTCCTCCCCATATGAGTGAGTGTGAATGGGAAAGCCTTGGGAGTCAATGGGAAGCTAGTTTGGCCTCGGCCTTGCCAGGTCTCTTGCTCTCAACCTCCACAGTTGTACTCAAGACGTAAGTAGGTGGGATGCTCCTCCAAGGTCCTCTCAGAGCTGCGCTGTGTGTCTTTGCACACTCTTCTGGAACATACCTAATGCAGGACAAGTGGTGTTACCCCACCCCCTTTCAGTAAGTTATTCCTTGCACAAGGGCCCCTCCCCCAAAGGCTTCCCTACCCTCTCTTTCCAGCCCAGGTGAGCAACTTGGCAGGTTTCCAAGAACCTGGGCTTCTGGCCTCTCCTGTCCTTCCCTTCCCTCTAGGAGAGGCTGCATCTGCCCTGCCACAGTTCCCTGAGTGTGTGATAGGAGAAATATGGGGAGGTGAATGTTCTAGAAGAGAGGGGAGCACAGGACCCATCCACATTAGGATGGGGAAGTGTCACACAACTGTTTTAAGACATTGGATTAGGCTGGGCCCGACAGTCCAGAAATCCCATTTATATTCTTGATCACATTTCTCATCTGCTCAAGATTGAAAATAGAGCCCCACTTCACACAGACGCTTTTCCCCTCGCTGTGCAACTTCCTCGCTCTTCTTAGTTGCAGCTGGTTTCTCCAAGGCTCCTGCTTAAAGTCAATACAGTATTACGGCTGAAAGCAACCCGGTGCTACGGCCTGGACAAGCCTCTTCTGCATCTATGCACAACCTGCAGCCTCAACCCGTTTGGGGAGGCCCTTAGAGAGTACAGCTCCTGCGGCCGCTAGAGATGGGGGTGGGCACTGATCCTGCAGACTGAACTAGCGGTCACACCATCGGCATCCCATCACCCCACCTAGAACATGCCAGCTTCCCCCACTGCTCTCCGCAGTTGCCAGCTAGAGGGGCTAGAGCTAAACTGGCTTTACAGAAGAGACAGACAGACAGACACACACACACACGTGTGTGTGTGTGTGTGTGTGTGTATGTGTGTGTGGTACATGCTGTATGTCTTATCTATTCTCTTAAAGACCATATTGACTCTGAATATTTCAACAAGCTTCACAGCAGAGGAAATAAAGTCATACGGACAAACACCCAGCATGAACCTGAGCATGGGGATGGGTTAAATGCTGTCTTGCCACCCCACACCCTACATCTTGCTGAGAAGATGAGTGAAGAAAATACCTTTCTTAAGAAGCACTTTTTAGATTTATTTATGTGTAGAGGTGTTTAGCCTGCATGTATGTGTGTGCACCACCACATGCATGCTTGGTGCTCATAGAGGTTAGATGATGGTACTGGATCCCCTGGAACTGGGAGTATGAATGATTGAGGACCTCCATGTGGGTACCGAGAAACAAATCCAGATCCCCTAGATGAGCAACAAATGCTCTTGACTTCTGAGTCACATCTTCACCCCCCAAATACCTTAAACTCCTAGGAGCCAGGAGTAATGGTGCAAGCCTTTAATTCCAACATTCGGGTAACAGAGGTAGGCAAATCTCTAGGAGTCTGAGACCAGCCAAGGTTACATAGTAAAACCTTGTCACAATAAGTGAATGAGAGAGCTACCCCAGAGCCTATTCTCAGCGAATTTCCCCCAAACTCATAATCTGTCTGAAAAATGATCCCTAAAGTCAGACCAGAAATCTAATGCTCCATTTGAAATTGAAGCAGCCAGGTTCTTTGAACCCACAGATATCACACTGTGGAGTTTCACAGCGCTCAGAACCAAAGCAGACTCCGGAAGATTCATAGTCACCTTTTCTGCCCAAGGAAAGATTATAGACTAATTGGGGAAACGCAGTGTGCATGGAAAGGGCCCAGGGCAGACAGCCAAGGACAAATCACCTGGAAAGATCTACAGGGCCCGAAGAAGTTCAAAAAGACTAGTCACTAGCGCTGTCTTTAGAGGGAATGTGGCTACAGAAAGGGATTTGCAACCCTCCTAGCCTAGGCTACCTTGTGTAGAATGAAAACCGACAGATATTCTGGCCCCTTACTCCCTGTCTGATAAGTGCCTGCTTCCGATCAATTGTGGGCCAGGCAGCAGGTCCCAGTTAAGAATTTAAAGAAGGGTAATACATGCTCTATGCCTTTGGGGGAATTAATAACTTGATAAGAAGGTGGGGTGCACCCACGAATTCATTTTTTCTTAATTGTAATGGCGTTAACTATAAGCAATTCAGAGGCAACCTACTCTCTGCCTGGGAAGTCTCACGTGAGCAGGGTCTAAGGGATCTAGTTTTGCCAGATAAGAGATGGAGAAAGTACATGCTTTGGAGGAAAAGCGCGTAAACAAAAAGGTAGCTAGCTGGGTTGGGGTCTAGCTTGTGTCGGGGTGGGTAGTGGTTCTCAGTCTTAGCAGAGACTACCAAAAGGCAGGCAGGTCCCTGAACGTTCTGCAACTCCCCCCCACCCCAACGCCCACAGCAGGGCAGCTGGAGGGCCAGTTGGTCGCACTATTGTTCACATGGCCTGTTGCCTCTGTTCCATCAGCATGCCTCGTGCCTCTCCTAAAGGGCAGAGCTCGCCAGACTCGCAGATCAGGGACAGAGCCCGCCCACCCGCGCGCCGCTTCCCACACAGGTCCACGTTCCTATCCACCAACGCCCCCGAAATCCATGGGAACAACCGCAAGCTTGCGAAGGCGGGAATAGAAGCTGGGAGAAAGTGTAGGATGAAAGCCTGCAACGCAGAGTTTTCCTCGGCGGATGGGGTTGGGGAAAAGCGCGTGGGAGCCGGCGCATGCGCGGGGCAGGGCTGGCTGCGCCCGCCTAGAAGTGCGGGGGCGGATGCTCGGGGAAGAGGTGGGACGACGGGGAGGGGGGTGACGGACGGCGGGAGTTTGGAGGGGGTGTGTCGCCGAGAGTGGGGAGAAGGGTGCGAGCAGGTGGCAGGGTGAATGAATGAATCGTCTCATCTACCTTCCTTGCAGAGACAAATAGCGTGGAGGTGGGAGGGGAACACGCTCTGGGCTATCTGTAGGGACCGAGGGTCTCTGGAAGAAAAGAATGGAGGAGTAGGGCCGGCCAAACGTGCCATCTGCTTCGAGGGCGTCCTCCTGGCGTGGGAGTCTTAACTCCCTCCACACAGCCAAGCTTCTGAAAGCTATCATTCCCCAGATGGGGGAATCTCCGAGACAAAACAGCCTTGTTCCCGCAGGTGGCCTCTTGGGTTGCCAAAAACCCCTTCCCACACCAGCTGAGGCCTCCTCAGGGTCTGGCTATGAGGTGTGCCCACTCACCTGGCATCTCAAGCCGGGCATAGGTTTTTGCCAAGGCCATCTGTTCTGAGGGCACAGAGTCACATTGTTCTCAGCGTTCCTGGGATGAGGTTGAAAGAAGGTGAGCCTTGTGAACTCAGAAGAGTCAAAATGTGGTCCTGGCCTTGGACCAGCTACTTCCCCTCGTTGGCCCTCTGTTTCCTCCACAGTAAGGAGTTTGAATAGATGATCTTCAGGGGGCCTCCCAGCTGGGATTCAGGGTGTGACCCAAGAAGAGGAGGGAACTGAGGAGAATCAGTGAAGAAGCTGGACAGCAGGATCAGGATGGCATTCTCCAGCTCCTGCCCTCCTCTAGGGATATCTGGGGCATATCCCAAGGAAAGATGGGACCATTGGGAAGTGGCGGTGGGGATGGGGGTTAGGTTCTAGACTAGAGGCCATGCACAATGGCACAGTGTCTTGGGTGTTTGTAAACCAAAGCCTTGTCCTTTCTTCTGTCAGGAGTAGAGAACTTTCTGTCTTGTACTTGGTGACTACCGTCTGTGAACTTGAAGTTGGTCTTCAAAGTCTACCCCATTTCCTGTTTCCCTTTGCATCGCCTAAGCCCTAAAACCTTTCTTGGTGATTCTGCTTAATATGAATCCCAGTGCTCTCAGGGTAGGGCTGGTTGGGGTGCCCCAAGCCAGACTCTTGTCTCTTTGCATTCCATCTATAAAGTCAACTGTCATCATCCCTGGGGGTGGGGGGAGCAGAAAACTTCATCCCTACAGATAACTTCAGTTTAGCTTCTTAGTTTAGGAAAACTCCTAATCTGACTGACCATCCCCAAAGAAGAAGGTGGTGTGGAGGGTGTGTGTGTGTGTGTGTGTGTGTGTGTGTGTGTGTATGTGTGTGTGTGTACAAAGAATTCCTGCTCATTAAGTGAAGAATTCAGATTAGGGACCCCCTGAGGAAAAGGGAAAGAAAACAGCAGGACATCTCAAAGAATGGGAAATCTAATTAGACACATGACTCCCTGGGCTGACTCCTTGTCCTCCCTCTGGCCAATAGATGAGGGCGTGTCTAGTTGTCCCCTAGTGAGACGGGCAGTCATCCTCCCCAACACAGCCTTTATCTCTCTGGAAGCTGTAGGGCCAGACGCATCCCAAAGCATCTAAAGGTAAGAAAGGTAAGGTCCAAGGCTGGAGGCCTCACGCGTATTGATGTGCAAATTAAAGGGGCTAGGGCTGGGGCAGGGACTGGGCAGGGACTGGGCAGGAAGGATGAAGCGTCCAAGACTCCAGTCAAAGAAGCTGTGGATGGTCAATAAACTGCCTTGGGAATTGTTTTTAAAAGCATATATTTTGGTTGGAGTGGGGGTAGGGAACAGAGTTACTACCTTTTGCTGATGATGGGGACTTAGCGCTCAGTGCAGCTGAAGTTAAGAAACCTGTGCTGTGGCTTTAGGAGGCCTATGCAGCCCGACACATGCTGGCTACAAGGGTACAGGCATTTCAATGTTTGTAGCGCTCACAGCCCTCCCCCTGTGTGCACAGATGAGTGAACTGCGCAGACGTTTGTGCTCATATGCACACACATATGGACAGAAATATGTACATAGATAGCTACCCAGCTTTCATGATGGGAAAACACTCACAGACAACCACGTGGGACAACCACACACAGACTCTCCAGTTTCTATAATATGTTTCTAAAAAGTTCCATTTCTAAGTCTGTTTTATCAGCTAACGTCCTTCTTTTACGTTGTATGTCAATTATAAGATTTGTCTCCAAGTTAACTGGTTGCTCCTAATATGGGTGGAGCCTTATTCAATTTTACACCTCTGGAGGCAAGTTCAGAGACTGCAACTCAGTAGATACCCCCTGAATGTTTAAGTGACTGCATGAATGAGTGACCTTAGACCAACCACAAGAAGGCCTAGGGAGAGGGCCTTGTTAGCGAGCTTACCTAACATGCATCTCATACACCAGGCGTGATGGTGCACACCTGTAATCCCAGCACTTGGGAGTTGAAGGCAGGAGGATTAGAAGTCCAAGGTCCTTCTCCACTACATAGCAAACTTGAGGCCAATCTAGGGTACGCGAGACCCTGTCACAAAAACAAAAGCCGAAGGAAACAAAAGTCTCTTTAGTGTTGTTTCTCCAAAGCTAGTTTTTTGCTTTGATTTGTTTTTTGACGAAGAGTTTGTTCTGAATATGTGGTTGTTTACTGGAGAGTATCTGTGCAAATGTGCAAGTGTGTCCAGTGACACAGTGTCCAGTGTCCAGTGGACAGAGGATTTTCTAAGCATGTCTGTGGTGAGATGAGTAAGCCTGGGGAAGCTGTCAGTGGGAGCCTGAGAGACTGATGGCCGCACTGTGAGCTGCAGTGAGTGGTGGCTAAAGATACCGCCAGACACAGCCTGGCCTTTAAGATGAACCTTCTGAGGAGGTTGTGTGGGAAGGCAAGAGTGAGCAAGCATGCCGGTCGGAGGTCGGGTGACTTTGTGGGCTATTCCCACGGAGCACTAGAGACCTCAGATACCGACCCTTCTACCACCTACCCACAAGATGGATATCAGTGGGATTCAGCCATTTCCACTTCTATTTCTCCCCAGGACCCCATGAGGCTCCTGGCTTTCCTGGGTCTGCTGACCCTGGTGCTGCATGAGGCAGGGACAGCTTCTCTCCCAGGGGAGAGGAAGAGAGAAGAGCAGAGCCCCGAGGAAGGTGACACTTATGCATTTCTGCATGTGGGGAACTATGCCCTGAGCCTGGAGGACTACAGTGACGTCATTGACCTGAGCAGCTATGAGGAACCTGCCGACTATGGGGACCAGACCCCTGAGGTGAAAGGACACAGCTGACTTGGATTCCCTGATTAGAGCCAGCTCCCTTTCCACCTGCCCTATGATACAAATCTCTTGAGCCTTCAACTCTTTCTCTATACGATGCAAATTCTTTGTGGATGCGTGTGTTCATTCATATATGTGCAGGTACACATGCATGTGTGCCCATGTACAGGAAGCCAAAGGACAGACGGCCTTAAATGTTGCTCCTCTGGAACCGTCCGTCGTGTTTTAAGACAGAATCTCTCCCTGGCCTGGAGCTTGTCAAGTGAGCTAGGCTGGCTGGCCAGCAATCCTCCCCAGCACTGAGATTATGAGCATTAACCCAGATCCTGGCAAAATAAACACACGAGGGTGTGGGGAATCAAATGTGTGCCCTAATCTCCAAGGAAAGCATTTTCCAACAGTGCTGTCTTCCCAGGCACAAGGTACAAATTCTTGTTCCTCCTTAGGAACTTGTCACTTACAGGCTATGAAAAAGAGGACACTAACCTCCAAAGTCGTAGTCCATGTGGCACACTCGGTAGGACCTCCCCCAGCAGGAGACCTCATACATACCTCCCCATGTGGTCAGATAGGATCAGGAGCCATGTCATGGAGTGAAGGTCAACTGTGTCTTCATGTTCTCTCCACCCCCAAAAAAGGGAAATGCTAGCTTGTCAATTCGTAGTCTGTCTTCCAGTCTGAAGTTCTCCCCTGTCCTATGCAAGGACTGACCTGTGCAGCATGGCACATGAGCCCAGAAGCCTCTGTCCATTGTGATGTGATGAAGATTGGGGTAGAGAAAAGGGTTAGGGCTGACCTGAACAATGCAGAAAGGACAGGAGTACCCGCCTGGATGAGCCAGAGGTCCAGACTGCAGCTCTGTGTTGGGGCCTTCTGGGTACCTGACCCTTGCCCTCCCCTCTCTTGACCTCAGTTTCCTCATTTGTATATGGTATTAGATGCCATGATCTCCAAGATCCCTTCCTTGCTCTCTCTGCTCTCTCTCCCTCCTCTTAATCCGCATGTTTCAACTCGGTCTCTGAGGTTTCCAGAGGCCACAGCTAAGTCCTTCTCAGACATAGACTGACTATGATACGCTTTGTGCTGTGTCTCCAGGCTAAAGTGGACAGCCTAACTCTCCCAACAAGAACCAGTCCCTCCCAGAGCACTGTGGCTCCAAACCTCACCATGACCAAGCCTACCACCACTGGCCTACTGAACACCCAGAGCAGTCAGGGTAAGTGCACGCAATCCGAAGGTCACGGTATACATAGATCACCGACCGAGGAACCTCAAGCTGGCACTGGGCAGTTCTAAAGTGGAGTATGGTGAGGGCTAAGGCCAGGGGGTCCTGGGTCTGGGTGAGCCTCTGCCAGCAGGAAAAGAAGGGGAGGTTGCCATGGTGAAAACAAACACCACCGCCATAAAGGGGAGTGGCTGTCTGTCCCTGATACTTCTGCATAAATATTATGCACAAATTGAGTGGGAGGCAAAGCAAGCAGGAACTCCTACACCCTATCAAATCCACCCTACCTTAATTAACAGCATCACTTGGGGAGCAGTTTGAGTGGTAATTAGATTAGAGATGATTAAATGCCTGGAAAGGAGAAGAAATAACTGCGGCTGTCACTTGGCATGGGAGCAAATGAAGCGGTGACACCGACTTCAGTATGAAGTCACCTTTGTTAGCAGCCCCTCCCCCAGTGCCTTTCTGGGCCCGGGGTGCAGCATCCCCGACTCTGCTGGGGGTCAAACACTGGGACACATGTTTGTCCAGCATGGACCTGGGGTACTGAGATAGGCTGAGGTGTTCCCTGGGGAGTCCAGGAACTCTTACAGCCCCAAACTCAGCCTTGAAGAGGCCATGAAGGATCTCAGCTAGACCTGCCTTTCTCAGCCTTGGGATAAGGGCACAGGACCTCTGTCCCTTGCCCCTGCTGATCCCTCTTGCTGCTTCATCTCTGGGCTGTGAACTTTCTTCCGGTGCCTTTTGGGTACAAGCCTCTTTCTCAGTAAGCTCTGTGACTTGTGACAGCAAGTGACACTAAGCATTGTTCAGCTGTCTGAATCTCTTGACCGCTCTGTGCAGAGAGAGCACCAGGGGCGGAGAACAGGGGAGGGATGCTTCCCACTAGAAAATCAGGATGCTGACAACATCCCAAGAGGGAATGGATGCTCGGCAGGCACTGTCCATTCCCACTTGGCTCTGCTCTTCTTCCTAGAGCCATGTACAGCATAGTCAGTTCCTCTTCTTCCTGAGACAGAGGCAGCAACCCGTGGCTATTCCATATCACTCTGGCTTTTTTTTTTATTTCATCTACACTGTACCTTTTGGCACTAAAGAAGGATCCTCTGAGAAAGAGACAGGCAGAGGTCCTAGAAATAGTCACTTTAACTCAGGGGAACCTATAAAGGTTTGGAGTCTGGTGAAAGCACCATTGGGACTTGCACTGGGTGGTAGTGAGGTGAGCCCTCTTTTAGGCCAGGGTTGAGTGACAGGCTGAGAGAACCTGTGAGTCTTGTCTCGGTGCCTTGTGCTAAGTGGTTCTGGGCAAAAAAAAAAAAACAGAGGTAATCTAAAAGCCACATGTGCTCATGGCTTAGGAATCCACTAAAGCAAAGACCACTGCCCACAGAGGCTCAAGCCCTTCTGTTCTGTCTTCTATCTGGCCAGGCCTGCCTACCTGCCTGGTCTGTGTGTGCCTTGGCTCTTCCGTGTACTGTGATGATGCAGACCTCAAGAACATTCCTCCCCTTCCCCAGATGACCACCTACCTGTACGCCCGCTTCAACCACATCAGCCACATCCAGGCCAGAGACTTCAAAGGGCTGAGTGAGTTATACTTTGGGAAAAGGTCGTGGCAAGGTAGAGAGGGCAGCCAGGACACAGATATGAGCTCACAGGCTGTCAAAGGGACAGGCGCTCTGATCCTTCTAAATCCCATAGAGTTTAAAGTGCTAGAAGTAGCCAGTTCTTCTCACGAAGGAACTGGGGCACAGAAAGGGAAGGTATATTGTGCTCAAGGCAACATTTCCAGGATGTTCCAGAAGCCGTACCTGTTAGAGACTCTGGGCTAGACCTCCCTGCACCTCCTCTCTGTGGCCCTGATGCTATCCAAAGAGCTGTTTGCTGTTTCTTTATTTTGCTTCTTACCACATTCCCTGTTTGAGGTGGGCGGCCTGGGCTTTCATTGCTAGTAGCCTTTCAGGTCCTCAGCATCCTCCATGTAGAGTAAGTTGGGTTGGGGAGGGTTGCATGCAGTTCCTGAACTTGAACTTGTTAGTTCTTCTGAGGCAGGGGTGGGGCCCTTTTAAGATGGGTAACTACCATAGAACCAAAGCTCTGGAAGAAGCTGTCTGGGAATGAGGTGATTTAGCCTTGTTTCTCGTGGTCTGGACCTGATGCAGGCGGCAGCTAGTTAGAACTCACTTGGGAAGGATGGAGCAAGGCATGGAGGCAAACACATCCCGCCTGGGCCAGGAGAGATGTCTGTTCCAGTTTCAGCCTTCGTTCTCTCCCAACATCCTTCAGCAAAACTCAAGAGGATTGACCTCTCCAGCAGCTCCATCTCCTCCATCCACAACGACGCCTTCTGCCTGCTGCCTGCCCTGCAGGATCTGATCCTCTCAGAGAACCAGCTGGCAGCTCTGCCTGTGCTGCCCAACGGCATCGAGCTCCTGGATGTGCGCCTGAATCGGCTGCAGAGCTCGGGGATACAGCCTGACGCCTTCGTGGTGAGTCAGGACCTTAGTCCACCACACAACACCCACCCTACCATGTACCACAGAACACAGCATCCACCACACAACACCCACCCTACCATGTACCACAGAACACAGCATCCACCACACAACACCCACCCTACCATGTACCCTGACCTCATAGCAATTCATGCTCAACCCTGATCTTGGGCCTAAAAATCAATTCCCAATTTTTTTCTTTTTTTTTCTATTTATGTGTTGGAGAAGGTCTGCTTGTTGGTTCCAGGCTGCCCAGCTAGCTTAGACCCAAAATAATCACATAGAAACTGTATTAATTAAATCACTGCTTGGCTCATTAGCTCTAACTTCTTATTGGCTAACTCTTACATCTTAATTTAAACCATTTCTATTAATATGTGCATCGCCATGTGACAGTGGCTTGCAGGCTAAAGATCCCCCAGCATCTGTCTCTGGTGTATCCATGGCTTCTCTCTGACTCTGCCCTTCTTTCTCCCAGTATTCAGCCTAGCTTTCCCCTGCCTAGCTAAGTTCTGCCTTGCTATAGGTCCAAAGCAGTTTCTTTATTCATTAATGGTAATCACAGCACACAGAGGGGACTCCCACATCATTTATGGCTTATTAAACATTCTTCTCCAGAAAAGAGTGTTTTTACATTATGCCATCATGGTAGCCTCTGTAGCCTGTGTGAATGGGAAACACAGTGCTATCAGGTCCCAGGATACTGTTGGTGGGGAGAGAACACAGGAAATCAATACCAGCAACTCTCCCGTGCCTCTGTGAGGATACCACTGTAGTGCTGGCCTTTTTCTGTGCATCTGTTCCACTCGCTTTCTTTGTACCAGACCTATTCACCCAGACCTGCTCACTCCAGAGATGTTCACACCAGAGATGTTAACACCAGACCTGCTCACACCGAACCTGATCACACCAGACCTGTTCACACCAAATCTGCTCACACCAGACCTGCACACCCAAGACCTGGTCACCCTCAGACCTGTTCACACCAGACCTATTCACTCCAGACCTGTTCACCCCAGACCTGCTCACCCATTCTGTTCTTGAGAACCCCAGTTTGTCTGTAGTGTTGACCCTGACTCCATCTTCTACATACCATCTTAACAGTTTTGAAATCTACCACCAAGTAACTGCTCATTGTCTCTCTATGGTCAGATTCTCGAGACACAATTTGATGGGTTACTGAACATATTCGGTGGAAAGTGTTAAGTCATTTGACACAAATATGGTCCTGTGTAACTGCCCAAGGAACAGGCTGGTAAGAGCCCAGGACGCCAAGGAGAGGGTGGCAAAGCTGACACACCACCCAGCATGCTGGCTGCAGGACTAGGAAGGGCCTTCACAGCCTGGTATCTCATGTACAGCCTCTGTCTCTCTCAATACAGTTCAACCATGACAACATCTCTGTCGATACTGGACTATGGGTGGCCCCTAAGAATGAGTCATCTAGTAACTTCACAGCCCAGTAATTTCACAAGGACACATTTCTCAGAACTCACCCCTGTCCTTTAGCAATGCTCGACTGTGACAGGCTCCTTTTTACCAAGAGTCATATGTAGAAGCATCAAATAGAGAAGGTAAAAAGGGCAGTATATATAACCATTTATATATGCTACTATATATTATGTTTTATATGCATAATGTATATTCACAGACAAGGGTCTTGCTTTGTAGTCCGGGATACCCTCAAACTCATTATCCCCTCCCTCAGCTTCCTGAGTCTGCCATAACCGGGATACATATCACCGTGCTCACCGAGAGCTGGGTGCTGCTCTTTCACTGGTCCTCTCCCAGGATGCTGTGGGTTGGGGGCCTGCAGAGGGTACAGAGAGCAGTATTCGTGCCACTGGCGGATGTGATGCAAGCCCTGCAGACACTGGTTTTCTTGGCCATGCAGCAAATACTGGGATTGTCTGTCCAGGGAGGTCCCTGACTGCTCCAGTCTTCAGAGACATCCTGACTGCTTCCATATTAGGAGGTGCTTCTCTGCCTTCACTCGGGCCTATTTTCCTGGTCCAGAAAAGGCAGGGGCTTTGGAGCCAAAGGACCTGAGCTCATTGAGTGAGTCACCTCTGCTCTTGTTTCCTCATTTATAGAACGAGGGTGATAATGTCCACTTGACACCGCTACTGCAGGATTGAGCACGGCATTTGCAGAGATAACAGGATAGCTAAATGTAGGTAGTGGATTCTCCGTGAAGTGGTAGCTTATACCTCCCAGTTCTCCCAACCCGCTGCGGGCTGAGCTCTTTCCCCGAGTCCCTATCTGATTGGCCTTCCCTGATTCTGCAAGTGCTGAAACACTCACATGCTCCATGTGCCTGTGTGCCTTGGATTCCATTCTGCCATCCTCTGAGCTTGTTCCCCATAGTCGTTCTGAGTGGAGCATTTGGAAGACTTCACTGGGGGCAGAGTAGCTGAGACTGAGCTGAAATGTCCCCTGGTCCTTCCTTCTACCTGTTCCTGCCTTTATCTGCTCCTCCCAGCCAGCACTAACAGCTCCTTAATGCTCCCCAACTGCCAGAACTCAACGACAGCAGCTTTCTTTTGGCGTCCAAATGGGATTGGTATCTGTAAGCTCCTTAAAGAACCAGCATCTGTAGGCCTCGGAAGGATGAATTAGGAGGATCACAAGACTGAGGCCAGCCTGGGCTACATAGAGAATTCTAGGCTAGCCTGAGGTACAGAGTAAGATACTGGAGAGGAAGGGGAGACAGACAGGCAGACAGATAGGCAGGGACAACCCCACCCCACAAGTGCGACAACCTGACGCTGGCCTCCTGGGGCACCACTGCATGACCAGAGCCTGACAGGACTCACCAGTCTCCTACACTTTGTGTCCCCACAGGCCCTGGAGAAGCTTCAGTTTCTCTACCTGGCAGACAACCTGCTGGATTCCATCCCTGGGCCTTTGCCTCTGAGCCTGCGCTCCCTGCACCTGCAGGTGAGGAGCCTTGATCAGACCAAGGGTCAAAGAGAGTGAGCAGGGTGGAAGACAGATGCCCGGGGAATTCAGGACAGCGAGGACGAGCGTGGCCTGTATGAATGCTGGTCTCCTCTCCTTGTGAAGCATTTCCTTCCTGTACACGTCCGTATTCCACCTGCTTTGTGCCCTCAATTTACCCTCTTCTTCTTATCCCCTTAGGGCCCCCTCCTTCTCCCATCTTTTCTAATTCCCTCTCTCTCTTCACTCTCCACAAGCATCCTCTTCTCCCCGTGTAAAGTCTCAGCTCTACCTGCCTCAGTTTCTCCAGCTGTTGTGAGCCTTCAGCGTATGCTGTTCCTTCCAGAACAACATGATCAAGACCATGGAAAGAGACACCTTCTGTGACCCCAGGGAACACAGCCCCAAGCGACGGCAGCTGGAAGACATCCGCCTGGACAGGAACCCGATCAATCTAAGCCTTTTCCCCGAGGCCTATTTCTGCCTGCCAAGGCTTCCTGTGGGCCGCTTTACCTAGATGCCAACGGCCCTCTCTTCCCAGGTGCAGTGCTCATAGGCTCACTGATAGAGAGCTAGCTCCCTGCAGCTAAGTAGTGATCTGTAGTCCAAGTGTCAGGCAGCCTGTGAGCCGCAGTCGCAAGATTTCACAACACACACACACACACACAGATGAGAGAGAGAGAGCCTCCAGTCACCGAATTTGCTTTTCTCCCTCCTCTTTCCTTACACCTTATGGCTCCTGACTCAGAGGAGAGCTGCAGCAGAGATCTTTTCCACGCTCTCCATCCGTGTCTTCCCACAGAATTCCAGGAGAGCCATGAAAGAAAGAGGAGGAAGAGGAGGTGCCAGAGGGACAGAAGCAGGCTGGGAGGGGAGGGTGGGAGAGAGGAAACACCGGTGTGCTGGAGCCTCCTCTTAGCTGACGGGTAGGCCAGCAAGGTTGATAATTACATTTTCCAGAATTTTGCAGTTCAGTTGTCAAACACAGTCATTATGAAAAATTAAATTATATAACCTCACAGTTATGCTGTAGTATTATGCTGAATATGACTGGAACGAACACTCAAAATTTGCCAGCTCCCAATGAGTTTACCTACCTTGTGTCCCTGGTAGCTTTGTGGTAGACATTCCAGGTAACAGAGTGTTATAGAATGACCTTCCTGACTCATTGGTGTTGGCAGTTTGAAACTGACTGTAGTGGGAGATTTACACCATGGAAATCTATGGATGTTGTAAATCGTGTGTGTGTGTGTGTGTGTGTGTGTGTGTGTGTGTGTGTGTGTATGAGAAAGAGAGAGAGAGAGAGAGAGAGAGTCTATGTGAGTGTATCTGTGCGTACCTATGTGTCTGCTTACGTCTGTCTCTCTGTGTGTACTGAGATTTAACTGTTGAATTTTTTGCCAGCACACCACCGAGGACAAAGAACTATGTTTAAAACTAGTCCTCCTGACCCTACACCCGCAGTGACCAGGGAGTACAGTCCCTTCGGTACCAACCCTTTGTTTCCTGCTTTTCCTAGGTTCTCCTGTTCTAGTTGGAGGGAATCATCCCCAAGGAGGGAAAACTGGCCTGGCTTCTCACCTGCCAGCCCTCTGGCTGGGGCTCACCTCTTCCCTGGCTCTGCCTCAAGCCTCCTGGTTTCGGGCCCAGATTGCCATCCTTTCTAATAGCGCCTCCATATGCAACCAGCAGAGGGCAGCGTTGTGCAAAGATAAATAAATAAATAGAGGGATTACCTACAGGCTTTGGATCCTGGGCGGGGCCTGGGGCGCTGAGGGAATGAAAAGAGCATCTTATCAGCCAACTTCTTTGTTGAATGGAGGGGGAAGAGAGAGAACCAACCTCCCATGTTACGGCCCTGAGTTTGTCATCCTCCTGCCTCAGCCTCCTCACTGCTGGGATTACAAGCATATACCACCATGCGCTGCTACCATGGTTTTCATAAGGCGGATGGCACTGGACCTCAGGTATTGCCTCTGGGTGTTGGCCGAGGAGTGGAAAGGGCATATGCCAGGCAAAGCCTTGGCTTGCTCGGTAAGACTTTTATGCCACTGCTATCTGCCGTGTGCCTGCGACAGCGTTCCTGGTGTCCCTGGTGGTAAGGTGGGCGGGTGTACCTCAGAAGCTTCTCTTTCCGGGTGGCACTTAATTAATTAAGGTCTAGCACAGAAAGAAAATCATCACTCAAGCAACTACATTATTCAACTCAGACATGCTACAAGGGAAATTACAGAATGTGACAGGAGCCGGTAAGTGGGGTCACGTCTCAGAGTCCGGAGACCCCTCTGAAGGACTAGCATTCGAGCTGAGACTGAGGATGGCGTGGGAACCAACCAAGCCCTGAATTGCCCAAGCAACCACTCAAGGTCCCAGGTGGTCTCTGAGCCGGAAGGGACAACTGTTTGTAGGGGCCCATTGGGGAGGGGAGCCATCTATTTGCCTTTCTCGGGCCCTGGGTAGCACCTCATCAATCACTTTGAATGCCCACCACAGTCCTGTGAACAGGCATGTCATGGTTGGTCATTCCCATTCTTCATATGATGAAACTGAGTCCTGAAGAAGCTAAATCAATAGCCCATCTCTCATATTTACTGAAGATTAGACCAAGACTCTTCCTACTGGCTCTAGGGTGGCAAAAAGGGATCTTAGAGACGCTGAGGGGTACCCTCGTATCCTGGCTGAGGCTTCTGTCTTCTCTCCCAGAGGCTTGGGTTACAGCACACCTCATCCCAGGAGAGGTCTGGAGGGCAGAAATCTAAGATCCTAGAGATGCCAAAGCTCTCTCTGGTTCCCAAGGAGTTCCCTACAGCAGATCTGTGTGTGTGTGTGTGTGTGTGTGTGTGTGTGTGTGTGTTTCTGTCTCTTGTACGTGTTGGTGTTCATGTTTATACATGTGTGGGTGGTATGTATATACACATGTATGTGTGGGTACTCACGAAGGTCAGAAAATGACATCTAGTATCTAGATTCCTTAGTTGTTCTCTGCCATTTTTTTTCCTCTGTGTAACAGTTCTGACTGTCCTGGAACTCGCTCTGTAGACCAGGCTCGCCTCAAACTCACTGAGATCCGCCTAACCTCTGCCTCCCGAGTGCTGGGATTAAAGGCGTGCACCACCATTGCCCAGCTTGTTTGTTGTATATGGGTATTTTGTCTGCATGTATGTCTGTGCACCATGTGTGAGCTTGGTGCCCATGGAGGCAAGAAGAGGGTACTGGATTTTCTGGGGCTGGAGTAACAGACAGATAGATGTGAGTTGCCATGTGGGTTCTGGGAATCAAACCCAAGAGAACAGTCAGTGCTGAGCCATCTCTCCAGCCTGGCTGCCCCCCACCCCCATGAGAGTTGGGCACATGAACTCAGGTCTTCAGGCTTCTGCAGCAAGCACCTTACTGACTAAGCCCAGGCTCTCAGCCCTGAGCTTCCTTTGTGGTACCTCAACCCTCCCCTCTCTACCAATCCTACACCAATCCACATCCCATATCTGCCTCCCTTTACTGGATTTTTAAAAGGCGTAGGTGTCCAACAGCTGAATGGACCCACCCAAGATTCCTAGCTTTAAGAAACCCCGTATTGAAGGGACCCACTAATAAATAATACTTGTGTATATACATATATATCATTTTCCAACACTAGGGCTCCTGTTTGCTGAAGCCACGTCACACCTAGGTGCCTACACACCTGTGATGAATCTGTACTGACAGAAATCCCTCAGCCACCGTTCTTCTATAGGAGGAGGGAGCTGGGCTCTAGAGTTTGCTCTTGGTGCCATGGACACTTTACACACCTTCTTGTTTAATCCCAAAGGTAGAGCTAGGTGAGAGGGAGGCGCTTCTCCTCACCGCAGATGTGGAAACGAGTCTCTAAAACAAACTGGTCCAATCGACCCTCAAACCCGGTTCATCTGCTCTGGATTCTGAGAGCCCAGTTCCTACTTCACACTCCTGGGCAGACGCTGTGGTCAAGTGCAGGTCAAGGAGGCAGAACTGTTTTCCCTGAGGCCATCCTGTGCCCTGGATAGATTCTCCCTGAGGCCACACCTCTGCAGCTGTCTCCTGACTAATCCCTGGTTTGGCTAGGGAGGCTCAAAAAACAAAAGGAATGCCCTTATTGGCTCATTGAAGACATTTTAAACAGAGCATCTGTCCCTCTGGTGCAGAGAAGCTTGCAAGGATCAACTTGCTCCTAGCAGCTGTTGCATCTCTGTTCATGTGAAAGAGCCAGGCTGGCATTTATAGCTCAGGACCAGAAGGCGTTGGGTTGGACCACAGCAGGCAAGCAGAGAGCATCTCTCCAGCAAGAGCGACACCCCAGCCCACTCCTGTCAAATGATAACACTGTGAAAATGGTCAGGAGAACCCGTGCCAGCCAGCCATGAGGGAATAAAGAAAAGGTCCTTAATGTCCCTACAGGCATGGCAGGCAGCCCACATGCCTCAAGACTCTTCCAGGAGGCACAGTGCCTACCTGACTCCCGGGATAAGCCCCCACTGAACTCCATCTGACCCTGGCAAGGGCACTGGTGTAGGAAGTGCCACACCTCCCTCCTTGGCCCCTGGTCTTCAGGAAAATCTCCTTTGCCAGCTCTGCGAATGTGGGGAAAGAGGGCAGAGGGGCAGAGGCATGGCCTTTCCTTCCTCAGTCAAGGTGAGCTTGCGGTGACCTCCCCTTCCTCCTGAACCACCCTGTACCCAACTCCACAGTCCTCTCTGTCCCCAGAGCTCACCCAGCGAGGGGCCCAGGGCCAGAGGAGGAAGGCAAGGAGCTAGAGCCAAGTTGAGCTGAGGAGGCTGGGAGAGTTCCTCCCTGACCTCGCCTGGGCTTCCTTCCTGCTTCCCTTTCCTTTTGCCTTCTCCCCTGAGAATCATTCACGCTGCACATGTGAGCTTTGCAAAGTTTCTTTGCATGTGGCGTCCGACTCCATAGTCTGACCCCGTGGGGGGTGAATTCCTACTTTTTGAGGCCATGTGCCGTACTGAAAGAAAGACGACAAACTAAGCTGGGTTTATGGAAGTCAGGCTTAATGGTCCATGCTTGTCATCCTAACACTCAGCAGGAAAATGAAAAGTTCAGAGTCAGCATGCCTTTAATGCCAGCACTGTGTGGGGTTGCGGGACGAGGCAGGTGGGTCTCTGTGAGTTCGAAGTCAGCCTGGTCTACTAGCAAGCTCCAGGTCAACCAAAGCTACATAGTGAGACCCTGCTACAGGGAGGGAGGGCCGAGATACAGGAACACAGAGATAGAAAGAGAGAGAAAGAAGCATTCAAGGTCATCCTCGGCTACAGAGTGAGTTTGAGGCCAACCTGGGCTACGTGAAACGCTGTCTCAAAAAAACAAACAATACAGGTTAAAAAAAAAAAAGGTTAGGTGGGGCTGCTGCGGGGAAAACGTGGCTCAATGCCCGCCCCCTCCCATCCCACAAAACACTTTGCTGTTGTTGCTGTTTACATGTTGGGGATCAAATCCACGATAAGAGTTCCACCAAGTGAACCGTATCCACAATCCCTTTAAAGAGCAAAAGCTGAGGAATGTATCCCTCAGACTGGAAAGGGGGAGCCCACTGAGGGCCTACATCCTAGGAACAGAGAGGGATTGCATCTCAGGAGAGCCCTGTGGCTCAAGGACACCCTGTCCCCAACCGCCCACTGCCACAGGCCTGTGTCTGTGTCAGTCTCTCTCCTGGCCAGGAGGAAGGCAGACAGATGCAAGCGGCCTGGCTTTACCCTGCCCCCTCCCATCTGCATCCTCTCAGCTGCTCCTCCTTCCTGCCCCCTCCTCTCCAGCACACCAGCTCTCTCAAGGTCATCTCCAGCCTGGCCAGCAGCTCCCAGGTCCCCATGGATGCTGCAGCTTG